AACACTTCTGCTCATTTCAACAGACCCTGGCAAATCCATCTGTATGTGGATAACTCCCTCTGCACAAGTAAATGCCAGCGTGCCTGAAACAATGGTTACAATGATATTTGGGTTGCTCCTGCCTAACCATATTTTATTTATGCAAGAGTATACAGTTCTTGGTCAACCAGTTCCCAGCAGGTTCCCTTCTAGAAAGCAGGACAGATGACCAGAGTTGTTGCAACATGCAGCAACAAAACAAAGTTTTGGAGGGAATAGGTGTAAGGTGGTTCATTTTCAGCAAAGTATCATAAAGAATAAATCAGAAAATTCAAAGTGTTTTAAAATACATAAATAAATGCAAACCTTCAGAGAAAGACTGTATTTAAAAATGCAACAGGCTTAACTATTAAAAATGCATGGAAGCAAAATGATTCAAGATGTTTTGATGCTTATGGGGAAGCTAACAAAAGTACTGGATTCAGAGTGTCTTCCCGCTACTCTGATTATAGGACTTGCTTTCCCCTCTTTTTCTTTTTTGGATGTTTCTCCCAGTTACTGCTAGATTTTGATTTGCATGAAAACCAGACTGTTGCTCCTTGCTACTAAAGCTGATTTCCCACCTGAAGATAGTCTTCCATAGCTAAGCTCTTAACAGCCAGCTGTCATCAGAAGCTGAAGATGATGACAACAACATCAGATTGTTTTCCAGTACCAGAGGAACTGATACGGATACTCAGATTACATGCCTCAACGTGAACTGTGGTGTTTAGATAGAGTTACAGGTGGCTAAGCAGCAAGAGCATATGAACTCTTAGGAAGCAAAAGATCCTATTTTTATGGAAATGCCCTCAGCACTGCTGGGTAAAAACTGGCAATCTCAGCTAGCAGAGATCCAACACTTTTTCCCATTGCTCACTCTATCTTTAAATACAGTGTTAAAACTTTGAAGAGGAAAAGGAATTCAACAAGGGCTGTCAAGCTTTGAGTCATACAGGACTAATCCCACATAGCTCTGCAATAGGGCTGAGGGTGGCTGTGGTTCTCAATGAAGTAATGATCAAGCTCCTACAGCATATTAGTGCTCACAGCTGGAATAATCAGACATCTGCCAATGCCTTGGCTTGTCCCTGGCTACAGGCTCCCAGGGACCACTTCCCAAGACCAAGAAATTAATTGTTTCCACTTCCCTGCAAAGCAGGATCTCAATCAGCTGGCAGTGATCAGGAGGGAAAGCTGATCTATTATCTGCTTATGTGTGTACCTTTTCTTTCTTTATTTTTTTTTTCTATTTGCAACCACAGAGAACTTTTCAAATTTTGCAAATATTGTACATGGGGGAAAATCCCAAACAACTGCTGTCTGCTGGCCAACACTACAAACCTACTGTTAGTCCAAAACTATGGCAAAGCTGTTAAGAAACTGCTTTATAATATGATTTTCTTGGTGCTGCTGCAATTGGCTCTGCTACTTGAAAGCTCTATGTTTGCTTTTGGGGCTGCAACACACTTTCCACCTTCCTGCTGGCTTGGATGGGGCTCACTGGTGAGCAAAAAGACCACAGCCTCTGGAAAACACATGGACCATCCTTGCCTTTTAATCCCTTATAGCATTTCCAAAGTGATGTTTAGCCTTCCATAAATCTTTCCACAGAAAATCTAAGACAGAGGATCTGCCAGTTCAGGAATATCGTTTCAAGTAAGGTAAGCCTCAAAGCACACTTGGCAGCTAAACAGCTCTGTTCTTTGGGAAGTGCTTTTTACTTTGAGGACTACATCAACTTCGACCAGCTCTTTGAAGTAGAAGAGAAAAGACTGTGTTTCCTCAATCAGTCTAGAATTGGATATGATCTTTCACTATTATTTTTCACAGAGATTTTATAAGCCTTTTTCCCTGCTTTTACAGACTGAAAGGGATCTTCAGTGACCCAAAGATTCAGCTGGAATTTATTACAGAAACTGAAAGTGGTAACTGCTATATAAATGGTTATCACATAACTCTCAAAATATACTCAAAATTTAAGGTCTAATTTTTTCCTTCTTCTATACCCAAATAAAAAAGACTTTGTATAAATATCAGGTTAAGTTGTCACCATTCTGAAATAAAGTGAGAGTTTGAGGTGGGTTTGTTTGGGTTTTTATTTTTAAATATGCATGCCTTTTTTGTAGTGGAGAAGTGCATACACTACCTGTTGTTACTCTCATGTAGTTCTTTAAAAGTTTTCATAAAGACAACAGGTTACCAGTGAAATATAATATCAGCTCATCGGGTTCCTCAGGTGCTCTTCTGCAAAGCTATGAAATACCAGTTCATCTCCTGCTTAGAGAAACCTAACACAAAATTTTCACATACGATCACTGCAAGGTCTTCCCTCCTCCCCCCAGCTTCATATCCCACCCAATCATTCCATTTCAGAAGATTTTTTTTTTAAAAGAAAAGAAAAACAAAAAGAAAAGAAAAGAAAAACAGCTTATAAAACAGCAAAGAAAATAAAGTTATTTTAATATATATAGAAAGAGAACAAAATGAAACTTGAGGGAAAACTTACTGGCGTTACAGTTTATCCTGATACAGTCTAGATGGGGAAAAATAAATGAAAGATGAAATTGCATCCTTCAAGGTAACAGCTGCAGACATCCAAAAACAATCAGTCCACCCTTCCGGGGACAGACACACGCAAAGAGATGTGGCCATTTTATACTTATATACAGTCTGTACAAGTTCAGGAGTGGGTGTATATGTACAGTATATTCTACGTAAATATCTGTTACATAAATATATATATACATACATATATATACACATATGTATAGAGAGATATACCAATATACATATATATCCACATGTTGACACAGAAAGCTATTTTCTTTTTAGAGAAACCTATGCATCTAAGAGTATCTTCTACTCCAGACCGTGAACTGATGTGAATTACAATAAAAAAATTGATAATTAAGGCACAAAAAGATCTCCCTCAAAATGCAAGTCATACTCCAGTGTCATTTTGCTTTTTAAAGACCTTTAGCAATTCCTCTAAGAAGCTTGAAGCTCAAAGTCAACCTTTACACTTGGTTTCTTTTGAATTAATTTGTATTGTTATTGCATAAATACACCATCTGTCCAACACAGAATACCTGTAAAATCAGCCTTTGAGATTTGTTGGTGCAATATTTAACCCTTTCCAGCTCTCCCAAAGACAGACCCTCTTCTCATTCCCCCAATGCCAGCCCAGAACACTTTTTAATATGTGCACAGACACATCTGACACTGTCCATTCAGGTGAGGAAAGGGTTAATATACTGCCCAGTTGTGTCCTATCATAAAATGGCCACTTGCAAACAGCTAACCGCACGAACGCCCAGCCCAGATTTCAGCTAGTTCTGGAGGTTGGGAATACTTTTTTTTTCACTTGGCAGGGGGAATGGGGATTTCTTTCAAAGGTCTCCAGCTCTGCCAGTTCCTCAGCGCCCAATCTCATCTTGCTGTCTGAACGCTAAGACTGAATGGGATGCTCATAACGTTCAGGAAGAAGATGAAATGGGCAGTGAAGTGGCAGATCTGGGAACCTTTCCTGGCCCTGCTTTGTTCAGAGGTGACAGGCAAGGGAGGGACGAAGAGGGGTACATGGAAAGAAAACCAGAGTTATGCTTGTGGAATCCAATAAATGATAACTGAGGAGTCTGCACAAAGAAAAACGTCGAGGGAGGAGAGCCTGAGCTAGAGGGCTTCTGAGCATTGCTTCTCTCATTTAACACACTAATGCTCAGCATATCTCAGGATATGACCCATAAGAGGATCTTTCATTTATAAATGCCTACTTACAGCCTTTGTGAACATCCATTACTGTGGTGTCTGACATGGGTGAGAGCTATCACATCGGTGCTATTATGTATCTTGGGCCACGCTGACCTCGCAGGAAATCAAGGCCAGAAATAGCAGCACCATGGTACTGGACACCCTGTAGGGACAAGTAAAGCTTTGTCCAGCAGGGACGGTTGTATTTATTAGAGAGATATGGCCCAGGAAGAGAGATTATACAGAATGGCAGAGAAATATAATGCAGTCTGCTGCTTAACTGGACCAATTTTATGTTTACTCAGAGAGATGTAGGAAAATTATTTCAGAGCTGAAACTAAATGCAGTTCTTAAAAAATGAAAGAGGGGAAAGAATAAGAGTCTATAAATGAAGAGCCGTAATGAGCAGGGACACACCAATCAGGAGCAGCATAGCCAGAGAGAGTCTGTTTTCAAGCAGAACTTCTCTTGAGAAAATCTGGGTTTGGTTTTGTGCGATTAGGTTTGTCATGTGTCGTCAACCGCAACAGAAAAGTGGGAGCAGTTGGTACTATCACCATACAGTGGTGGATATATCCCTTAGAGGAGTTGGGTGGGGTAAGGGGAGCTCTGAAGTACATGCTGGAGAACTTCCCTCTATGACCTGATGGAGAGCGAGAGAGACCCCCAAGCCTCACTGCAAGCGAGATCAAGAGAGTTGTTACAGCTGGAACAACAGGGGAATTTCTTATGGGCTAAACAGTAAGCGTGCTGGAAAGGGAAACATGGCTGGTCCTCAGCAATATTCATCAAAGTTAGAAACTAAAACCACTGTTGTGTTATTTATGTCTCCAGAGAAGTTTTGCCTTTTTAATTTTTTTGCAGCAATACCAAAATAACTACAAGTCCCAGGGCTTACCCTCAGGCTGAGTCACTGGCTGCTCAGGTGAAGGGATCAACGTTTCAAACTGAAAATCAGTGTAGCCCTTATCCTGGCTGCTAGGCTTCTGCTTCAAAGGACAATGAAAGACCAGGCCACTGAGGGGGTTGCCCTGACAACTACCATGGCACTGTTAGACCTCCAGATTCTGCGAGCATGAAGGCTCTGCAATGCCATGCAGCCAGGCATCAGGCAGGAAAGAAAAACAAAAAGAAAAGAAAAGAAAAACAGCTTATAAAACAGCAAAGAAAATAAAGTTATTTTAATATATATAGAAAGAGAACAAAATGAAACTTGAGGGAAAACTTACTGGCGTTACAGTTTATCCTGATACAGTCTAGATGGGGAAAAATAAATGAAAGATGAAATTGCATCCTTCAAGGTAACAGCTGCAGACATCCAAAAACAATCAGTCCACCCTTCCGGGGACAGACACACGCAAAGAGATGTGGCCATTTTATACTTATATACAGTCTGTACAAGTTCAGGAGTGGGTGTATATGTACAGTATATTCTACGTAAATATCTGTTACATAAATATATATATACATACATATATATACACATATGTATAGAGAGATATACCAATATACATATATATCCACATGTTGACACAGAAAGCTATTTTCTTTTTAGAGAAACCTATGCATCTAAGAGTATCTTCTACTCCAGACCGTGAACTGATGTGAATTACAATAAAAAAATTGATAATTAAGGCACAAAAAGATCTCCCTCAAAATGCAAGTCATACTCCAGTGTCATTTTGCTTTTTAAAGACCTTTAGCAATTCCTCTAAGAAGCTTGAAGCTCAAAGTCAACCTTTACACTTGGTTTCTTTTGAATTAATTTGTATTGTTATTGCATAAATACACCATCTGTCCAACACAGAATACCTGTAAAATCAGCCTTTGAGATTTGTTGGTGCAATATTTAACCCTTTCCAGCTCTCCCAAAGACAGACCCTCTTCTCATTCCCCCAATGCCAGCCCAGAACACTTTAATATGTGCACAGACACATCTGACACTGTCCATTCAGGTGAGGAAAGGGTTAATATACTGCCCAGTTGTGTCCTATCATAAAATGGCCACTTGCAAACAGCTAACCGCACGAACGCCCAGCCCAGATTTCAGCTAGTTCTGGAGGTTGGGAATACTTTTTTTTTCACTTGGCAGGGGGAATGGGGATTTCTTTCAAAGGTCTCCAGCTCTGCCAGTTCCTCAGCGCCCAATCTCATCTTGCTGTCTGAACGCTAAGACTGAATGGGATGCTCATAACGTTCAGGAAGAAGATGAAATGGGCAGTGAAGTGGCAGATCTGGGAACCTTTCCTGGCCCTGCTTTGTTCAGAGGTGACAGGCAAGGGAGGGACGAAGAGGGGTACATGGAAAGAAAACCAGAGTTATGCTTGTGGAATCCAATAAATGATAACTGAGGAGTCTGCACAAAGAAAAACGTCGAGGGAGGAGAGCCTGAGCTAGAGGGCTTCTGAGCATTGCTTCTCTCATTTAACACACTAATGCTCAGCATATCTCAGGATATGACCCATAAGAGGATCTTTCATTTATAAATGCCTACTTACAGCCTTGTGAACATCCATTACTGTGGTGTCTGACATGGGTGAGAGCTATCACATCGGTGCTATTGTGTATCTTGGGCCACGCTGACCTCGCAGGAAATCAAGGCCAGAAATAGCAGCACCATGGTACTGGACACCCTGTAGGGACAAGTAAAGCTTTGTCCAGCAGGGACGGTTGTATTTATTAGAGAGATATGGCCCAGGAAGAGAGATTATACAGAATGGCAGAGAAATATAATGCAGTCTGCTGCTTAACTGGACCAATTTTATGTTTACTCAGAGAGATGTAGGAAAATTATTTCAGAGCTGAAACTAAATGCAGTTCTTAAAAAATGAAAGAGGGGAAAGAATAAGAGTCTATAAATGAAGAGCCGTAATGAGCAGGGACACACCAATCAGGAGCAGCATAGCCAGAGAGAGTCTGTTTTCAAGCAGAACTTCTCTTGAGAAAATCTGGGTTTGGTTTTGTGCGATTAGGTTTGTCATGTGTCGTCAACCGCAACAGAAAAGTGGGAGCAAACAGCCCTGGAGCAATTGGTACGATCACCATACAGTGGTGGCTATATCCCTTAGAGGAGTTGGGTGGGGTAAGGGGAGCTCTGAAGTACATGCTGGAGAACTTCCCTCTATGACCTGATGGAGAGCGAGAGCAAAAGCGAGAGAGACCCCCAAGCCTCACTGCAAGCAAGTGAGATCAAGAGAGTTGTTACAGCTGGAACAACAGGGGAATTTCTTATGGGCTAAACAGTAAGCGTGCTGGAAAGGGAAACATGGCTGGTCCTCAGCAATATTCATCAAAGTTAGAAACTAAAACCACTGTTGTGTTATTTATGTCTCCAGAGAAGTTTTGCCTTTTTAATTTTTTTGCAGCAATACCAAAATAACTACAAGTCCCAGGGCTTACCCTCAGGCTGAGTCACTGGCTGCTCAGGTGAAGGGATCAACGTTTCAAACTGAAAATCAGTGTAGCCCTTATCCTGGCTGCTAGGCTTCTGCTTCAAAGGACAATGAAAGACCAGGCCACTGAGGGGGTTGCCCTGACAACTACCATGGCACTGTTAGACCTCCAGATTCTGCGAGCATGAAGGCTCTGCAATGCCATGCAGCCAGGCGTCAGGAAGGAATGCCCAAGCACCCTCCAGAAGAATCAGCTCCCAAACCAGACTTAGTCCAGCTGGGTCAGCGGGGATCCCGCATGGAGCCGAGTGAGCGCATCTGCCTGCGCTGCTACACCAACACCAGCATACTCTCCACGCTACCTTCAAAGAACAAGCACAGGGGGTTTTTTGTTCATTTCCTTAATTCTGAGCCTTGCCCAAAGCAATGAAAAAATAATTTCCAATCATTAATACATGAAGCTGTTTTCTCCCTCTTACATCAGTTTTCAGAAAGGAAAGAAAACACCTATTTTCCTCTGAACTCATACAATACTACAAATCCAAAGCAGAGGATGCTTTCCCCGGCAGTAAGGTGCAGGATTAGCCTGGTCTTTGTGCTCAAAACAGCAGCAGCTGGGGAATTCAGGAATAATTAAAAGAACTGCTTGGGATTCTTCCTGCACAGTACCAGGGAAATAAGACTTCTGGTAATCTCAGCCCTGTTATCGCCTTCTACTGATGAGATTTGCTTTATTTAGGTATGGCTGCATTCCTGACTCAAAAGAGGTTTTCCCTTGCTTTAGGCATTGAAGATGAGAATGCCTAAACAGCTGTAAATCCAATCACCTGCCAGTTCAGCAAATGGATGAGGAATCTGGAGGACAGCAGTAAAGTGAAAACACAGTCTATAATGGCATGGGGAGCAGCATGAGCCATGAAGACCTTCAAGAGTTACTTTCTTTCGTTATTATTCCTAATGTAAACCAGAAGCTGCTTCCTTAGTGATCAGATGGAAGGTTTCCCAGAGCACATCACCTGGAAAAAGGGCCAAAGACCATCTCCTTGCAAAAAGTTAAATAGCTCCACTGCAAATAGCTAACACTGGGGATTTGGGATTCATTGTTTGAATGGAGATATATTTAGTAGCAGAGAGAAGTCTCTGTGAATTAGGCTTGTGTTTCTTACCATTTGTATCTTTGTGCCTGCAAATAGTGGTATTTGACATTGCTAAGGCCCCAGGCTGCTTTTTCCGTGAATCAGGAAAGAAAGTCACCTTTGCTGTGCGAGGACAAAGTGTTTGTTCCTTTTGATGAGCATCCACATGTGGTTATGGAAGAGCACTTTAAGGCAAGACTAGGACAAGAAAGATAGTTGGAGCCTGACTGCTTCTAATCTCATTCTAGGTTATTTCCTCTGGGGAAACCAGATCAGATCTGGTGCGCACTCTTACCCCATGTTACAGTGTGTCTGCTCGCCTCTCTCCTACTTGCATGCAGTCAGACTGTGCACCCACCTGTAACTGGGAGCTGACAAATATTTTTGCATGTCTATGACAAAAAAAACCCCAAAACACCAAAACCAAGGGCCTCTGTATGTACTGATCATCAAAAAGAAATTTATTAATGAAAAACAGCATGAATGGGCATACACTTGCACGTCTGAGTGCATGATTTGCACAAAAGGAAGTTTGGCATTAAAGTTCACATATGATTGAAAAAGAAAAAATAGAAAATGGGCTTGCTCTGTTTCTATGTAGGAATGACAAAAGAAACTGCATTTTGGAGAGGCAAAAATCTGTTTGACACCCCTGAGGAGATATCTTAGGAAAAGATAGGCAAGAGGGATGATTACACTTCTTACAAGAGAACTGACTCAGATCAACAGGAGGCAGGAACTATTTATTCTAGTCAGCAGTGACCTGAAGATAAGACAAGCCAGGAAGAAGAAAAAAAATAATGAAATATTCTTTAATAAAAGTCAGTGACACTATAACCCTCCCACTCATCAATGGGAGGAAAAATGTGAAGGTGGATCTCCCTATCGGACCAGCCATTTCTTTCTCTTTCTGCACATCTTCTCAGCATCAGAAATTATTCCCAAGCATGTTCCAAGCCATGACTTGCTTAATTTCTCTCTCTCTCTCCTTCTACTCTAGACCCATTTCTTCAAAGTCCTTCTCAACAGAAGTGAGATCTGTATCACAGTCAGAAATTATTCCCAAGCATGTTCCAAGCCACGACTTGCTTAATTTCTCTCTCTCTCCTTCCACTCTAGACCCATTTCTTCAGAGTCCTTCTCAACAGAAGTGAGATCTGTATCACATTTGGACTTCTAATCTTCACACAACAAACACTCCAACCACTCTGAGACGTACTGTCAGCATGCAGATTGTAGTGCCTCGGGAGCTCACACAGGAAAGGTCTGAAACAACTTCCTTGCCCCTCTTTCTTAGAGAATTATTCATCACTGTTCCTCTTTTCCCTCCCACCTTCTACAGCAAGCACCCAGCCGCCCATGCCCACCCACGCCTGCTGTACGATGTGTCTCTCCCCTGTTTGGTTTGGACACTGAGCGCTGAGGAGGTGAGGGGGATATGCCAGCCCCTGCAGGCTGCTCTGTACGCTCTGTTCTCAGGGCTGTTTGCTGTGCGGGCCGCAGGCTTCAGGCCTTTGAAGGGTTGAATACCATCTTTTGATTTACCATGGCTGATGGGGTATGGGAAAGCTTTACAACTGAAATACATAGAAGAGTTTTTTTTTTAAAAAAAAAAAAAAAAAAGAGAAAAAAAAAGAAATAAAGGAAAAGGAAAAAACAAACAACATAGGAAAGACCTTAAAAACCACACAAATGATAATAAGTAACCAAATGGAATAGATCAAAGAAGAGAAGAAAGAGACAGCTCTTAGTAATAGTATTAAATGATTTATAAGAAAAGCACAATTAAATAACTCACCACTCAAAACAGTCTTTGTTTACACACATCTCCCATGGGTTAGATGCTCAGGAGGATGCTGGCATGTAGCTAGTCAGCACCGAGCGTACTCAGGTATTTGGGGGTGGTGCTGATGACTGTTTGTCACTGGTAAGAGGATTTCGGCAGGGTCAGATAAGGAAGATTTCATTCTCGTTTGTGACATTTTGGCTATGAACAGTCTCCTTAAAGAGTTAGATGTGACTTACAGTAATTAACTGAAAATGAATGGCTCTGGTAAGGTCATTCCTCCTCAAATTCTTTTTCTTCAACAGCAAGGTAATTTTGCCATTTTGATAGAAGAAAAGTCCTGTTTCAAGGAATATATCTGACAGCTTTATACATCTGAAGAGAGGAGAGGTGAAGCTCAATCCAGGTTCCACCAGTCTAAACCACCCTTCTGTTGAGTCGGGCATAGGAGGAGAGTGCTGACAGGTTTCCACTGATGCAGCCTGTAGTCACTTTTGGGGGAAGATTCAACCTCACAAAAGTTTCCAGCTGAAAAGCTGGCAAATGTGGCATACACATTGCTTTAGTCCCTGCAACTACACAAAAAGAGCCTTCAGATAACACAAGGTTTGGTTTACAGATTTTGTCCCTGTATTAAACCACCAATGACACATCTCTTTCCAAACATGTTTAGAGCTTGTGTCAATTCTTTAGCCATGTCTTTTAGATGCCAGACAGCAAGAGTTGAGCAGCCTACCTCTAGTCTAGGTGATGGTGTAGCAGACCCCAGTGAGTGTTAAAGTGGCCAATGCCAACCAAGCAGACAATGTTGACAGGCCCTGAGGGAAAATATTTTCTGCTAGCATGATATAAGGAAAACTAGAAAAGAAAGAGTATTCTGTAAAAAATAAGTATATTCAGGGTAATCTAATATACCCTCCTCGTATTCACATAAGGTCTGAGTCTAGGAGGCCCTGGACACCCAAAAGGAGCGATTCCCCCTATTCTCACTGATTTTAAAGGACAATGAAGACATAACAGAATCAAGCAAGTGCTACCTTTCTCAGAAGAAAAAGTGATATTTTTTTAATGAAGTCTGGCATTTTTCATGCTGTAGTACTTTTCATGTGGGAGTATCAAAGGCAATAGAAGCAGCACTTACTAAAATACTACCACATCCCTGGTGGGTTGTGAAGTATTCTCTCTTCAACAGAGAGAAGTCTAAGGCATGCAATGTAAAAGAACTGGCTCTGGGTTACAAGGGGCAGCGTAGAGCTAAGCAGATACTCAGCTGCCCCATCACTTCCCCAACAGAAGCATGCCACTGCCAGTCTTCCAGGGATTAAGTTTATTTTCTGAGAAAAAAACGGCTAGCAATAACTGTCATGAAAGGAATCAGTGGGGGGAAAAATAATCTCATTTTGCCAGATTATCAGCACCAACTGTATTAGATCAGAAAAAAATGCAGACATATATATGTACACACATGCACTAGGGTTTTGTGAAAGATTCTCTTTGCACGTGTAAGAATGCTCAGTAGCAATTATTTTGAACTGTTCTCCAGAGAAACCCTGCAAACCTATGAAGTTTTCCTTCACTTAAAGTTAATATAGGCAGAGATGGCTATCACCAGAGTGCTGTTTCTCTTTCTTTGAGAAGTTACTGTCATAGCTGAAGTGCATCTATTCCCTCTGTCCTCTAGGCCACTCGGAATAGCACAGCAACTGCTCCTACACTAGCAATGGACTCAACAGCACTTTACACTTCTTCAGTCAAGCTAAGCAGAGCATGTATGTATTACAAACAGGAACTCTGTAACACTGCATTTCCTTTTTTTTTTTTTCCCTCTTTAATAAAAACCAAGGGTTTTGGTAGCCCATTAGGTGGAGACTCTTTGTTTTTAAGAGATATGAACTTGTTTAAACTCATCATCTTCTCTTCACTTTCTTATTCTGAAAGCAGGTATTAGGGTCTGACTTGCACTTTCAAAGCTAAAAAGACACTAGAAGCAATTTTAAAAAAACAGCTAATTCCAGAGGACAGCTGGTGGACAGCATATAGCCTAGGTGAGGATGAGGAACCCTAAAACCACCACTCAAGCACAACCTTGATAAACTTACCATATCTAGCTAGGACAGGAGTGAAAAAAAAAGAACCATTAGTACATGTATGGGTGCATAATACTTGTTTTTCCTTCTACAAAGGCACTACATAGTTTGTTCCTGATATCACCACAGCAGGGCTTTGAAGATGCTGATACTGTTAGCTCAAAAAACATGAAAGCTTGTTCCAGTGGGGCTTAGAATTTTGAAAGCTGACACAAGCTTTCACAGATCATGCACACATCTTCATATAGAGTACCCTACATATCAGAAGAGGTTTAGCATTTCGCACTATCATGATAGTTCTGCCTTTTTGACTTAGAATCTCTTCTTAGTTATATTCCTGGATTCACATGAAGCAACAAGTTGCATCACTGAAAAGTGAAAGAAAGCTTTAACTCATGTATCTACAGTCTTTAAAAAGGCTATTTGCCATTCAGTACAATACTTAAAGACTGGCAAGAAAATGGATTGAGATTAATCCAATAGCACATTCACTCCCTTTTTTTTTTTCATTGTTGTTATTGTTGGACTTGTTTTTAATTGTCTTTTTTTTGTTATTTTCTGGGAAAGTGTAACTCTAAGGAGACAGAACATAACCCTTTGGGATGGGGGGATGCACTTTTATTATCGTTGCCTTCATTTTAATAAAGACACAATCAAAAAAAAAAAAAAAAACCCAGGGTTTTTTTTACTAGATGTAAAAAGCCCTGAAGGCTGAAGCATATAGCGATTAGAAAATAGAAATAATTAGCAAATAAGTAAAATAGACCAAGTTGTATCAAACGCTGCCAAATCCTGTAAAGGGCATGGGATTCACAGGACTTCTGCTTGCCACCATATCTCGTTCTACTTCCCTCCCGCGTTTGGCTTTGACTGTTTTGAGTGATGCTGGATGAATGAGGGATGTAACTGATCAAAAGATGGACCAAGCAGCATGTCTCACACAGAGCTCACCAGTCCCAGACCAAGAAAGGAAACTTAAAAACTTAAAGACTTAAAAACCAACACTGTCCATAACGAAGAACTGACAGCAAATCTTCATGCAGCAATGCAGAAGAGAATTTCTCTCCGCAAGAGAATATCATTATGAAGGTCTCAGCAGTTATTTTAGAAATCAATCCAATCCAATCAAACCAACAGAAATTAAACAAAATTATTTAAAAAAACCAAACCACTAATCACAAGCCCAAACTAATAGTGAAGGAGCAGCGGAAGGTTTTTATACGATACCTAAATTGACCATAAGTTTGACACGGCCTCCATCCAGCTCCAGGCGCAGAGTGTCAGCAGAGTCTCGTGAGGTGGTTGCCATCAATAGCCCATAAGCGCGCTGGGACATGAAACGGAAGGACACGTCTTCTGCTTCTGTATGCATGACCATAGGCATGACAATCTTCATGTACATGCTGCCATCGTAGCTCAAGATAGAGGCCTCTGCAAGGAATCAGCAAACAATTGCAAAAAATGAAAATAAGTTAGACCTCTGTGCGCTCTTCACTCCTGCAGAGCCCTGACATCTATCATAGAGCACTGTGTTTACAGAAACTGTACCACTCACCACAGAAAGGTATGTAACTGGGGAAAAACACAGCAACTGCTTAACTGCATCCAGCAACCCTATGTGGCAAGTATGAGCAGCAAACATAAAGATATGGTATTCACCACAACTGGAGGCAGCAGTACCCATGGAGACACAAACCCCAAGGACAAGTGTGTTAGCACAGGGCACTTTTGTGATAATGAGCTGTCAAAGCCTTCGTTTTTCACATCTTCCAGAAAATGCAGCCTCCTCCATTAGTCCAGCCTTCCCTACCACCAGCTGTAATGACTACTTTAAATAATGTCTGCAACACTTCTCCTAGAGCATTTAGCCTTGCCTTTGAAGGCTCAGAGTTCCTATTTCTGGTACTCTTAAGAGCTGTTCCTTATTTAGAGAGGAATTGCACTCCATTGCTAGCACTTTAAAGAAAAACAACAACTGTATGAAGCAAGTTTCCTAACAAGTCTTTTATACATCAGATTTCTGCTGTTCTGTGATTTTATATTTTTCCCCTTCTTACTCACAACTAATATTAGTAGAGCTCTACTAACAAAACTGTTGGCTCTGCAATGCAAATGAAGAAAGGAACAAACCATTGCAAGCTTAAGTGTCATTCAGACACAGGAAAAGCCAGGAGATGGGTGCACAACAAAAGCCAAGAGGAAGGAAAAGAAAAAAACAGAAAGGAAAGAAATCATATTTTTCTATCATCTCTGAGAATGCCAAAGAAAATGGGAAGTTCAGCTGAGGAAGGGGGTTATAGTACTTAACATTCTCTATTTATTCAGGGTCTTTTCTGAAGAAACTGATATTATTCTCTAAGAGGGTAGAATTAAAATCTTGTGATAGAACTGCAGCAACCACTACAGCCATGGAAATCATTGTTTCAGTCCGGGAATGTGTTCCAAAGCATTTTTATCCATAAAATTTACAAATCTACATAAATGTATTAATGTATGAATCAGAGCACCCCCTTCTCCCCACAGCCAACCCCTACCAAAGGCAGAGCTGTAGAGATTGCTCCATGTAGGACTTCTACCACAAAACTACATCTAAAAATTCCAGAGGTTAAAGGAAAGACCAGTTCAGCTCCCTAGGCATGTGGAAGGATTGCTCCGTAAAGCACCATTATCAGTGCCTCCTCCAGTTTAGCTACAGTTTTCTCAAATGGTTGGGATTCTCACCAGGCACCCCACACACACCCCAGAAAGGTAACACCCCTTCTAATTTAACCAACTGCAACAACATGTGTTTAGGATCTAGATGTTCTCCTTTACATTTCATCCTTTTGTCCCATATTTCCCAGCCAGGCCACTCATGCTGTCAGGAGAGGAACTTCTAGAGGGAAACAGCAAGCTTGGCAGAGCCAACCCTTACGGTCTATCAATGCCTAGATGCTAGGGTAGGGTAGTTGGATGGGAAACTGAGGAACAGCCATATGCCCATGCTGGAAAGGACCCACAGCTGGCTCCACAATGGCCAGTAACAGAATTGCAGTGTGTAATAAATATGCAAATGAGGTGATAAATAAGGACATAATAATAAAGTGACAAAGACGACATGTATATGGTTACATAACATTTGGTGGGGATCACTGTGGTTGTGCTGGTGCAGTGACCCACCACACTAATAGCCTGTATGCAGCACCTCTCTAGTCATGGGACATACAAACCCAATTTATCAAGAAGAAAACTTTTCTGGGAGCACCATTAAAATAAAATGGCTGTGAACAGCATCCCTGTTCACCAGTTTTCTTAGCTGCACTCCCCACACACTGTCATGGGCTGTACACACAAAGCTCTCTACACGCAACACCCACTCAGCCATACCTATACCTTCAGGGTACCAGCTGTCAGTGCTGCCCTGGGGACTCACATCTTCACTTGGCCAAGAAACAGAGAAGGAAAGAAAGCTTGCTTCTTAAGGTGGGGGAATGGTTTCTTCTTTTCAAAGTGCAATTCTCTTCCCCCTCACGTCTGCACCTCTTACTTGCCACCCACAGCTGCAAGCTGGAACTAAATGTACTGTATATTATACATACACTCAAAGGCAATGCGTATGTACACACAAACCCTCCTTGCTCTCTTTCCTCTCTCTCTCTGTGGATTGTATTAGAAAATGCAGTCAAGCATGAAATGGCTCTTTTGACGCCTTCAGTTCAGATGTGCCTTGCATGAAACAGTTGCTTGCCCTAGTGCCTGAATAGCTGCGAGAAGGGGGTTGGAGGACATCAAGTCTACGAGTTGGGAGTACCTGACACAAGTACCCCAGCTCCGCTGCTTCCTTCTCCGCAGTGCCATGTGTTAGGTGCTTTGGAAACGCGAGTTTTTCTGCAGATACTAGAAGACAACAACAGAAAAAGCCTGGCAATAAGACTACTCTTCCCTTCAAAAAGAACTCATGTCCTTCAGCTCCACTGATACCATTGCCAGAAAATTACTGTCCTCAGACAAGAAATCCCAACCATATTTATGTAAGAAGGACCTGGAAAATACCCTGCATCACTTAAGATGGCACAAAAGTCTAGACAGTGTTTTAACTGACATCCCACAGAAGCCTAAATCAGGTATTACTGTCCCTCCCCTGGCCAGTCTGCTACAAACAAGGAGCAATGAATCCTTGTAACAAGCAGATAAAATTAAATAGCCTAAAATAGTTGAAACAGCCCCTGCACAACCATAGGAGATTATGAGTTTCTGTTCTTGTGTGTGCCCTATGCTGACTTGAGCTCGGCCCAGCTCAGACCAGCTATGCACTTGACATTTTTTAAAAATAGAGAGATTTCATTCTCACCTTGCAAGTTTTTGGCATCTGGAATATCTGGGAGCTTTTTCAGCCCATCTCCTTGCAAGCTGACTATTCCCTCCAGCTACAAAAATACGCCTTCAGAGGAGGGCTTTGCCTAGTAGCAGTCATACGAATAAAACCTATCTCAGTCCCCAAAACTCAAGGAAGGCATGTTACAGCTGAGCAACACACACAGCAACTCTGCTTAGTTGAACATAGCCCGGCAACAGCCAGGTGACCTCAGCCTCCTAGGTACCTGTGCTGGCAACTTCTGCCTAAATACAGGCATCCATTTGATTGCCCTCGGCCATCTGCAGCAATGAGACTGTAATGCTTTTGTTCAGCACCACAAATACAGGCAGTCACCCAGCTATCCGAGTACACGTGCATTCCTTCCACCCTTCTATGTTTAGGGTAGCTATTACACTTGGATGTCTCACAGAGACATGCACAGGAGCAATGGGTGAAACCGTGTTTCAGAGCCCCACAGATTTGTACAGACAAAAAGATCCAGAGTGGCATTTATTTGCAATCCTGAAGCCAGAAGCTTCATTGCCATTAGCTTGGAGATGGGAAGAGGAAGAAACCAGGTGCTGATTCAAAACCGCTCTGACATAATGCCAGAGATCTGTGAAAATCAATATGTTATTAGGAGCGATTAGCTTCCCAGTCTTGTGCTCTGAGACCCTGCCAGGTTTAATTTTACACTTAGCATCCAAAGGAGCAATTCACTGCTGCTTCCCCACAAGGCTCTGCATAAACCTCCTGGGGAGATGGCAACAGGCGTATTCTTAGAATACAGATGGAAAAATAGTCAAAGCTTTGCAACCTTTCTCTTGTATTAATCTTCATTCTTTGCCTCTTCCTTTTCTTCTCCCTTTTAGTTGTTCTATAGTCTCGTGATCTTTCCTGTGCTCTCTTTCCCCTGCTTCCCAGACTACAATAGAGCTTTCTTCCTGAAATTTCCAGAAAGATGACAGTGTGAAAAGAAATAAAAATTATCCTCCCTCCACAAAAAGTTTAGCTGAAGTCACTGACGACAGCAGTTCAGGGCACACCATGCATTTCCCCTAGATGCATTTACCAGAGCCAGCTATCACCACCCGCTCCCACCAAGCAGAGCTTCCAGAGACAAGCATCCACCAACTGGAGAGGCATGAGACACTTGGCAAGGAGCAAGTGCGGAAAACAGGCATGCTGGTTCAAAACCACGGGGGAATACAGTCCAAACATTTCCACCCTCTCGCAAAAATTCAAATATCCTTAAAGCAAATGTGCCAAAGCTTTGTATCCATGAACCAGACAAAACTTGCCTGTAGGCATTACACAGCACACTTCTTTCCCTTCTGTATCTACTAATAGACAGCCACATGGCTGTAAATAAAAACAGCCCTGATTTTCTGAAAACCAAAATTACACTTAAACAAAAAAAAACCCAAAAAACCCCCCAAAAAATCACCCATAAAAACCCCAGAACTGAAAAGGCCTAAAAAAGAAAAAGAAATCCTCAGTCCTGTCCAAGTAGATTCCATAGAGATGAGTTTCAACAACAGAAGTCTGTGAAGTAATTTGGGGAGCCCAAATGTAATCATTCAGACCAAAATCTGACAAGGACCTAGGAGATAATACTCCTTTTTTGGTGGAAAAAATGTTGTGGAAATTTTAAGTGGTCACAAGTGGTTACGACCTTACATGTCATCCGGCAGGATGGGAGCTGGTTGCTGCAGGGCTCCCAGGGCTGGGCCCTCGCTGCCCAGGGCTGCCCCACACACCCAAGGAGGGGAGCATGACAGAACTGCAGATGGCGGCCAGGTCCAACCAGGAGCCCAGGAAATGTCACGGCAATGAGGCAGATCTGGGGTCATGACGGGAAGTCAATCCAAAGGCCAGAGCTAAGATCAGGCACCACAACCACCAGGCAGGGCCATGGTGACAGGGATGGGACATGAGCCTGGCTTGGCAGGGCCCATGGCCAGGCAGGACTGTGGGGAGCTGGAGACCAGCCTGGCTGCAGCATCGCTGCGCCAGGGGCTGATGGCCCCAGGGGGCTGATGTGGGGTCCTAGGCCATGGGAGCCCCAGGGTCCAGGCAGGGCCTGTCGGTGCCC